TTAGAGGACATAACCAGCCCGGCAGGCAGCTACCCCATTAAGTGTCCGGACATTCGATGCTGCTGTCATACTAAATCGATTTGCCGTGGTCGTCATCAAAAGCTTGGGGAATGGGTCTCATAGGAGTTTTATTTTTACTTTTCACGGAAGCGGTTTACGAGACTGGTTCCAAACCCAGGTATAACCATTTTTGGGAGGGGGTAGTTTCTATCAACCGAATACACGTTTATATAGCGAACAGCGTATTTCCATGACATCACGCCTGCTTGCAGCTGCAGCTTACTGTTGAGTAAACGCTGCAGACTTCAGTGAGCCTCGGGTGGTCCATTAGCTCCACCGAACCTACCCTGCACGGCGTCGAGAATTGGTTCGAAGATAAAAGGATGGATGTCTGGAGAAAAGAAACGACTAAGCGAACCCTGTTTATTTCTATTGTAAGGTGTGCGGTCCTTTCCTAGCTCGTCATGCCATCCAACTGCTATTGTCGATGGTGTCTCGGTGCACAGCAAGCAATTCCATTCTGAAGTAGTCAAATGCGACCAAGACGAAAGTCAGACATTCCATCACCGGTTTCGACAGCAAAATCATTGAACCCAAAGCCCTGATCTATCAGAGTAAACAAACACCCGAATAGCGCCACAGAGTGAGCAGTAAGTTAGTAGACTCTTTGATGAGGGCCTCATCTGCTTGAAATACTCTGAAGCAACTGGAAGCCTTAAGTTAGGTTTATGGAGCATTGTGACAGAACAACCCCTCGGCTCTACCACCCAACATTGACCCATCCGTGATTGGTCCACCGTTGGACCGTTGCGCTAAACCTCTTAAATGGGATGTGGGTGGAGAAGGATCCGCGCATTGGGACACATCGATCTCGTTCAGATATGAAGGGGAATTACAAAAGCTGCCGAATGTCCTCCATGAAGGGTAGGGTAGTTGCGAAACGTGCTGCGTATCACCAAAGGATTTCCGTGTTTAAAAGGAACTGTATGGAATTTTTTATTTTTATTAAAATTTACTCACAACTTTGCCTTCACAATGTATTTCTTTAGTTATCGCCATTGCCAAATTTATTACAACCTTTAAGTTCTTTGCTCTCCAGAAAAGGTTTTCATTATTTTAACAAAGAAAAAAAAAACAGAAATTACAAAAGATTACCCAACACATAATTTAAGCGTTCAACGACATTTGCATTATTCTCCTAGCTAGTTCATTAGCCTCATGCCTCATGCAATCTCAGTCAAAACCATTCGGATATCAGCTCAAGTAGCCCCCGTGGACACCAATGCCTATATTGCGCACATTCACCATTATGTCCATGTACCTCTGCCGCATAAATATCCATATGTTGGAGTTGGTGTTCACTTTCGAGGGCAGATGTCGTAGGCCTATTAAAAAAAAATACAAACACAAGAACACAAATAAAATGCGCCCCAAATGAGTAATCATACGGGCGAAAAACAATAGAAGTCGTGAGTCTCCTTATCACCAGCAACACACACACATAAACTCACATGAATAGAATTTTGAAAATGCTGCCGAGTACTCCATTATGCTCATCCAAATTGGAAGCGGACACATCGCAAATTGTCCTCAACAGACAGGCTGTGCCATTCATTTCGTAATGCTCCAGATAACCAACAATGCTGTGATAGAATGCGTTGCGTGTGTACAATTGGGCAAAGCTTCGACGACGGCGACTAGCCAATGGTATCACATCGTTGCCAATGCCCACGAATTCTTCATCTATGTTCCACTGGTAGGTGTGGGACGAAAGAAGTTGCAGAAATTTTAAAACATATTACTTTCTTCTTTGTGAACAAAGTTTTTACCCGATCAATCCAGTAGTAGTAGGAATCATTTGCTGGAAAACCATAATTCGCTTCAAAATTAAAAGCCATGTATACATTGCGATTGGGCAGATCGAGCGGCATTGCCACTGCAGCCAAGTACTGAAAATTTTGATGAAAGTCAAAGTGTTAATTAACGAAATAAGGCAATCACATTTATGTCAGTTGTTTTGTTTCGAAATAGTCACTTACGCCCTGTGAACCGCCTCTGGGGAATGCCACTATGCTATGTGCTAGCTTTTTGAGACAAATTGTCACCAGACACATAACAAATAGACCGTTTTGAATTTCTTTTCCACCAGATAAATGCATGTTTTGCTTAACGAATTTTGTGGTATTGTATTGCGGAATGTTAGTTTGCAACTGCAATGCAGAATTCTGTTTAGTGCAATCAGTGCAATTTGTACGGAGCGAAAGCAATTTCAAATATACAGGGTGGCAAAAAGGGAATGAATGCCTAAACACATAAACTGGAATAATACATTTTTGTTAATTTACAAAATGGACATGAACTTTTGGTAATTAATAATTTGGACATTTTATGTCGAATAAATAGATATATAAATTTCTGGAAATTTAAAAAGTGAACATAAATGTTTTTTTTTAACTGACCATACCTCATAAGCTCTTTTATTGTCATAAAAAAATAGACATAATTTTTGGTAATTTAAACACTGGCCATTTAAAACTGGAAATTAAAAAAAAAAGACAAACGTTTTTTGGTGATCATTAAACCTTTGAATAATTTTTTGGTAATTTCGAAACTGGACATAAATTTTTAGCAATTTGATAACCGAACATAAATTTTTTGTTGTTTAAACACTTAACATACCTTTTTTTGGTCATGATAAGACAGGAAATAAATTTTTGGCCATAAGAGTACAGTACATAAATGTTTGGCCTGGCTGGGCATACATGTTGGAATTTTTAAAACTAGGCAAAATTTATGATCGTTATGGAAGTAATATTTTGGTAATTAAAAAGGTAGACATAAATTGTTGGTCATCTAAAAATTGAGCATACATTTTTGGTATCCCGTAAAGTTTTCAACACAAATTGTTGGTAATTTAAAAAATAATCATATATTTTGAAATAAATTGCAAGGACTGGACATACGTGCGTTTTTAGATATTTAAAAACTGAACATAAATTTCTGATGAGAAATGTGAGCAAACATTTTTGTTTAAGAAATTTTAAGAAATAAGAAATTGGATGGAAGAATTATTCAGAGCTTTTCGTTTCTCATCGAGAAGGCATTGTCAGGGCTTTGAAGGTTTTCGCTGCTGAAAGCTTTTCGTAATTCTCGATTTTTTATCGCTGTAAAGCTTTCTTCGAAAAAAACATAAATAACTTTTTTAGAAAGAAATAATTAAATCCGATCGTTATGTATACTTTTACATAGTATAAAGAAGGTATCAAAACTTAGAAAGCTCTGCTGTTCAAGTTAAAGATTTTTATTCGAGTCGCTGGGTGGCACCCTTTATTGTGTTAGTAGTGTATATCTTAGCTAATCAGTGGGCTCATGTCTCCTACTCCACTTCATTTTAACTGCAATTTAGATGCAAACGCAAAGCGCTTTCAGATGTATTTAGAACTCAGTTTTGTCTTAATCTACAAATGTGTGAAGAATCGCATATGCTTAAACCCAGCGAGCCATAATTTCTTAGATTTCAAGAAAATGGAAGCAAAGTAGAAAATCTAACGCAAAGTACAGACGAAGTAGCCCTTGAAAGCTTTATCTTCTTCTTGCGTTGCCAATATGAAGAGGGAGAATTTTCGGCATTCAAAACCGATGAAATAATACATTGCCATTAGTTTAGGTTGGGATAGGCTGAAGTTTGTAAACTGCTTATTTCTGGCCCTTCTTCTTTTTTACGCGCCGCTTCCGATGGAAATATGGCCTGCTAGCAAGCTCATGATTGTAGATAAGTGTCCTCTGCCCAGCTTCACGCGCAGAAAGCAAACAGTCTAATTCAGTTACGATCAAAACGCATTCTACGAGAGAAGCTTTCTAAAAATTTCTAAGAGAGTAAAAGCTCAGAAAGAAACAGTGTAATTCAGTCACGAACAAAACATATTCCGCGAGAGAAGCTCAGAACGAAACTGTCTAATTCATTCACCACTAAAACCTATCCCGCGAGAGAAGCTTTTTAAAAATGTCTGTATATTTTATGCGGACGGGTAGAAAGTGCAAGTCCGCTCTGGCTGCAAGTAGCATGATTCTCTTTAGAATTATGCTCTCGCACCACCTAAAAACATTAAGCTCGCTAATCAGCTAAGCTTGCAACTCAGTTATTTATCGGCTCCGCGAATTCCTCCAGAACAGAATTGCTTTTCCAAAAGCTGACCTAAGATTGGTGGAAGAAGGAAGCGCCTCCATCTGTGAAGACCAAAATAGTTATTTTCATCAAATTATTACTGTTGCTGAATTCAAAATACGGATGACATTCCGTGAAATGTAGAGCATCCGTGCAGTTAGAGAAGGTCCTGTTTATCTCTTGAGGGCGATCTTTAGGCCTGATGGCATCTTTCAGAGCCCAGCCTTGGCACGGAATTAATTTGAAGTATGCATTAGGATTTGGTTTTATCAGAAATGTATGTATATGAAACATTGCCTAATTGGTTTGTTGGGTATACCGACAAGCATCGCACAATTTAAATGAGATATTTGTTTGTTCGCACACACAAACACATTAGATTTGTAAACTTAACTGTGCAGCGGAACTAGAAAGTATACAAGGAACTCTAGTCAATATCGGACGACGTCATCAACGCAGTGCTAATTATACAAACATGCCTGGCGTGTTCTAGGCAACTTTTAATTTTCATTAGCTCACCGATGCAACAACAACTACAACAACAACTGCAAACAAATAGAAGCGACCAGCTCCAGATTCCACCAGCTTGAAGCGCTGAAAACTAGGTCAACAAGTTATTTAGCGTGGTCATATTGGTCGCTTTGGTTTGGCTTAGAAATAGCGCCAAGCAAGCAGTGACCGAGGCAGTGGTTGTGGCAGCTTTTTATTGAAATTTTCGAGGTTATTACCGTTTTGACTGCTACAAAGTTGTACTTTCCGTTTTCAGTAGCGCACAGAATTTAATAACGAATAGAGGTTTCGCACTGTAACCTCTCCTCGAAATCGACAGCGCGAAATGTATTTTCGTATCTATTTACTCTTTCTTGCATTATTCGCCGCAACGCAACCGCATCACTGCCAATTAAATGCAATCGCGAAGCGGCACAAACGCTGGTTTCCAGCGCTAATTTTTCCGCCAACCAGTCCAACGCGAATACAGGTAAACGTGGCAGAGCAGAAAAATTAAAATTTTCATTTTATATAAAAAATAATGAACTACATTTTACCTAGTTGATTGTGGGCATTGGCATACCGCTGGAGGATTTACTCTACGAAGCAATGACCACCGGTTATGTGCTCAAGGCCGAATATTTTTTAGCCGATTCAGTGGAGAAGCTTTTCACCATCAGCCGCATGCCGTTTACGGCGCGTCAACTGCAGGCAAGAAAGTTGACCAAATTTGAGCGTTTCTTAGCGCGTGCAGATGAATGGAAGCGTTATGCCGCTTGGGAGCGCCACCTGACCGAGCATCGTAAAGTGTTGTCCAGCTATCGTTGGTCCATTTATAAAGCGCTCGAAGGTTTAGCGGAGCGGTATGTGGAATGATAAGCTTGCAGGTAAACTAATTAAAAGAGAATTATTGTGTTTGCAGCATTGCACCCGCGGGACGCGCTTGTGTGTTGAAGAGCATTTGTGAGGCGGCGGAGACGCCCTTTCACTACCGCAATGGGCTGTTTGGCGAACTGCTGCACATACTATTGACGTGAGTTGTTGAGAGGAGGCAAGGATGGAATCCACTTAGTTCTTATGTAATTTTTTGCTTACATAATTGTAGGCCCTCTTCTTCGATGGATGAGTTATCCGAGCATGCGGATAACGAGTATTTTTATGCTGAGTCAATGGGGCGCTCTGGTGCAGACTGCAGTTTGGTTTTCAGGGATTGTAAAAAGTCGCTGTTGGAACATTTTTCAAATGTGCAAAATTTTCAGGATACAATATTAAAACAATTTGGTTAGTTTACAAAAAAAAGAATAAAAAAAAAGAAAATATAGTTTTTCGGAAGTTAATTTTATGGAACCAATTTTGTGGCATCTCCGTCATGTCAGTACATCATATTTTTTGTCAACTTAGGTTATATTGCAGATCCTGTCATCATATAGATTCTGACGAAAAATTTTGCCCCAAAGGGCCGGTTATGATATCCTATTGGGATTATGTAGTTGACCGAGCTTATGGAAACAGCATTAATTTGTTTTATTTTTAAAGCATTGGCGATCAGAATTTATCGCCCGTTTTAAGGAGAGTAGAGAAAGTGGTAATGAAAATAACGTAGCCTGAGTCTCCCCAATCCCGGAGAATGGCAAAGAAAGTGCTCGAAGCTTTCGAGTTACTCTTACGCTCGGCAGCTGCAAAGCAGTAGGTCCCACTGGGATACGTACACATAGTATGNCTTTCACTACCGCAATGGGCTGTTTGGCGAACTGCTGCACATACTATTGACGTGAGTTGTTGAGAGGAGGCAAGGATGGAATCCACTTAGTTCTTATGTAATTTTTTGCTTACATAATTGTAGGCCCTCTTCTTCGATGGATGAGTTATCCGAGCATGCGGATAACGAGTACTTTTATGCTGAGTCAATGGGGCGCTCTGGTGCAGACTGCAGTTTGGTTTTCAGGGATTGTAAAAAGTCGCTGTTGGAACATTTTTCAAATGTGCAAAATTTTCAGGATACAATATTAAAACAATTTGGTTAGTTTACAAAAAAAAAAAAAGAATAAAAAAAAAGAAAATATGTATAGTTTTTCGAAAATATTAGTTTACGGAACCAATTTTGTGGCATCTCCGTCATGTCAGTACATCATATTTTTTGTCAACTTGGGTTATATTGCAGGACCTGTCATCATATAGATTCTGACGAAAACTTTTGCCCCAAAGGGCCGGTTATGATATTCTATTGGGATTATGTAGTTGACTGAGCTTATGGAAACAGCATTAATTTGTTTCATTTTTAAAGTATTGGCGATCAGAATTTAGCGCCCGTTTTAAAGACAGTAGAGAAAGTGGTAATGAAAATAGCGTAGCCTGAGTCTCCCCAATCCCGGAGAATGGCAAAGAAAGTGCTCGAAGCTTTCGAGTTACTCTTACGCTCGGCAGCTGCAAAGCAGTAGGTCCCACTGGGATACGTACACATAGTATGCCGCCAGAACTGCAATTAAGGCCGAACTGGTCAACATGGGCTATGATTGCACAACTTGGGATATGAAGATAGAACTGTAAACGCCACTGTTAATGAATCTAATGAAAATGTTTGTCTCGACTAACTGCCGTTTTCACAGAACACAGAACACTGGGCCCGGGGCACACATGCTGAAAGACTAGGACTGGAACACATTAATTCTTGTCGTAACTGTAATTTACCGGATACCAAAGAAATGGCAGAGTATCGTCCAGCATTGAGTAGGACTAGAATAAGGTTTCTAGGCAAACTTGATCTCAAAGTTGTGTGCCAGAAGATGTTAAGGGAATCGATTTTGATTTACCCGTTATATACAAACCTACATATATACGGAAACTGTAACTTTTAAACAAATTTACACCTATCAAAGCTTAAACGAAAATTTTTCTCAGCCCTACCCAAATGCATGGCAATTGCAAAGGTGTGCATAATTATTAACTGGCACATTTTCTCACAACCAAAAATTTCACCCACATTTCTAACCACACAATTGTAATAAAAAACACATTCATAAAAATACACACATGCATACACAAATGAAATGCCAACGACATTCTTGTGTCTCGATGTATTTTATAGTTATATGCTTGTAGTTTTTGATTTGATTGCGTAAAATTTATGCAAATTGCAAGTTAATAACTCTTTTTACTCTCAACTCTCTTGGTGGTCTTATCACCGACTAACCATCAACAAAATAAATATACCGCAACGAATGCCACTCGACTACGTAGTTTTTGTTTTGCTTGCAGCAGTGCAACGTTCGCTCATTTAGAGGGAAGACGAGCAGAGAGAAGAAATCAACAGCCGGCAGTTAAGTTAACATAGATAGAAAGAGACTTAAGGTGGGTAAAGGAGGCGAGNCGTTAACAGAGTGGTTCCCTAAGGTTGGCAAAGATGGATGCACGAAATATTTTCAAACCCATCCTTATATATTTATTTTTGCTTCTGTCTGGCGGAAGAAGACGAAAGAAAAGTTCACGCAGTTTAAGCTCAGCAGACAGCAATGACTAGCCTGCGTGAGCATTACTGGTGCACCCTAACGGTCGATTTCTCTAAAAAAAATCTGGCACATTCCAGAGGGTTCCTTATCACTTACATTACACTCTCATAAACTAATAAAAAAACTGCCTCCCTTTGGCTGATGAAGATGAACGATTAACAGAAGCTATCAGATACAGGTCGAAGATCACTTCGATAGGGGAGCGGCGCTAAAGGCACACGAGGTCACCTCAAGTTAATGTGGTTACCTTCAGCTTTTAATGTTCATCACAATCAGGAATCGGGATTAACAAATCTGGAAAGTGGAATTATATATAGAGAGAGAAAAGGGTGCCACAGGTATTCTTAGCCCCAGGGCTTTCATCGGTCTACCACAGAGCTCCGATAGGTCAAGCTGTAATATCTGGATAAGGAAGCGTTGCATTACTGAACAATGACGGAAGGTAACAGACAGGCTAAATCCTTGGTCCTGAAGATGCCACCAAAGAGAACTGGAGCACTTCTTCACCTTACAAGGTATGAACTCTAAAAATTATTATTGGCTTCCTCACTGACCACTGCAGGGTAATGAAGCACTTGTTAGACTTGAAAGTTGTTTACACTGATCAGTGCAGGTTTATGCCGGGAAATCGGAAGACCTTACTAGACAAAGACTTCACTTCCTAGGATCACCGTAGCAGAGGAAAATGACCTAAATTCAGTTCAGTCAGGGAATCCCATGTAGTTTTTTATCGAAATAGAGGCCTGATTTACATAGTATATTATCCCTGCCCTCGTCTAAGGGGTGATTTAATACAAGGGTGTGTTACTATTCTGCAGTTCGACTTCTTAAACCATTTGGAGAATGTACATATGTATTCTGAAAATAAATTAAGGAGATGGTCCAGTTAATTTTTTCTGTTGGAATTGGGATTAACTTCTCAAATAGCGACATCAAGGAACTATTTTCGGGTAACTGGCTGGAGCTCAATTCCAGTAAGGTTTTGATGAACTTAACTACAAAGATGTGGGCAAAGGCAACTTCAAATAGGGTATTGGATTTCCAATAAACTCTTCTGGTTGAAAAACTCTCTCCAGGAGTGAGCAATGAAGAGCTCCTCTTACGCCTACGGGTTGCGAGCGATACTTGTCTCCGCGCTCCATATTGGAAAAATCCGTGTACAACAGCTAGTTTCTGGCATATAAAATTTCCTTTTCGTATAAAAACTCTCGTCTTGTTCAATTCTGCTTTCGATGGTGTGCAGTCAGTACCGGGTTGATAGAATCAAGGCCTCGGACAATGAAAGGGAGGAAAGAAATATTTTATGGAGTTTGGGACATCAGAAGTACAAGATCCCATCCCCCTTATATTGGATTAAGCTTACAATGGCCATATGGATTCCAGCGGTATTTCTGAGCGAGGACGATACGTATTCCCAAATACTTTACTAATTGGATGACCGTGAGATTTAACCCTACACCTTGTGAATCTTAAAGCTAGTTATGCAGAATTTCCACATTCACTCCTCCCTGATTGAGTTCGAGCAGTACTAAAATGATTTTGGTAGACCATGGAAGTGGTAACTCCTCTGTGAGGCGTTTCTCGTAACTCCATAGCTCCGAAATTCTGTCGAAATTGATCTGCGCCGTAGTTTCGCTATTAACTATTTAGAAGCTGGTTTATAACTGATTACTTTATTCTATGTTTCTAATATTGTTCGCAAGAGTGTGCATTATTATTTATGCGTCAAAGCAAAGGAATTAAGAAAGTGTAATACTTACTGCAGACAAAAGCTTGAAGAATACTATGTTAGACTAAACGAATCAACAAAATATTCGCTTCAAACTCGAAAAGCNCCTCTTACACCTAGGTATGTATGTTTGTCACTTTAGTTCCCAGAAATGTGTACTAAATCCGCCAAAGCCATAGGGAAGGAGCTCAGTAAAGAAGACGACCAGCCTTGCTGTGCTAGGTCCGAGCTTCGTTAACAGACTCGTTCCTTAAGTTTGGCAAAGATGGATGTACGAAATATTTCAAACCCGGCGGAAGTTTAAGCTCAGCAAACAGCAATGACTAGCCTGCGTGAGCATTACTGGTGCGTTGAGCACAATACAAATGGTGGCTTTCGTGGCGTGTCTAGACCTGCGACTTCTGCATATTGCAATCAAGAAAGAAGCGCTTGTGTTTACTGAACGACACATCTCAGGGGGCAAGGTGGTGAAAATCAAACCCATACATCCATCCACACTCAGGGCTATAGGACAAGAGGAAGTACTACGCGTCTCTGTATGTTAAACTTCACATAAATATATAGATGCACCTTAACGGTCGATTTCTCTAAAAAAAACCTGGCACATTCCAGAAGGTTCCTTATCACTTGCATTACACTCTCATAAACTAATAAAAAAACTGCCTCCCGTTGGCTGATGAAGATGGACGATTAACAGAAGCTATCAGATATAGGTCGAAGATCACTTCGAGAGCGGAGCGGCGCTAAAGGCACACGAGGTCACCTCAAAGTTAATGTTCATCGCAATCAGGAATCGGGATTAACAAATCTGGAAAGTGGAATTGTATATAGAGAGAGAATAGGGCGCCACAGTTATTCTCATCCCCAGGGCTTTCACCGGTCTACCACAGAGCTCCGATAGGCCAAGCTGTAATATGTGGATTAGGAAGCGTTGGATTGCTGAACAATTACGAAAGGTAACAGACAGGCTAAATCCTTGGTCCTGAAGATGCCACCAAATAGAACTGGAGCACTGACCACTGTTAGACTTGGGAGT